GGGGGGGGTCTTCTGATTTTTTTTGGTCTTTTTTTGGTTGATTTTGTCCTTTTTTTGTTTGCTTGTTTTCCCACTTTTTCAAGGATGGAAAGATCAGAGAAAAATAAAATAAATCCTCTTTCAATAGTCTTCTGGGATGAGCAGCGTCTCTGGGCTTGGGCGCGGGGGAGGGGCCGAGGCCGAAGCCACCAGCCCGTTCAGATCCTTTGGTTTCCTTCTCCCAGGTGGCAGAAGGGCGTGGTGGGGCGGCAGGGAGAGGACGTGGTGATGGCGAGCCCCGATGGCCAGGGGCCGGTGCTCCCGGGGCCGGGGCGCGGCCATGGCCCCCAGGGCCTTCTGCGGGTGCATAGTTGGCTGGAGGAGCAGGAGGCCACGGGTGGGGCCGGGGTGGCCTGCCGGCTGCAGGCAGGGCTGCAGAGTGATTTTGGTAATCCAGACATACTATCAATAATTTAAAACTTGATATATATATATATATGTATATATATATATTAAAAACCTCCCCCTCCCCTCCCCCTCAGCAGACGGTGGACGTGAGGCGCCAGGGAGGGGAGGCTGGGGGCTCCTGCCGCCGGGCGTGGGCAGTCCCGATGGCGCGCACAGACGGCACGCGGCCCCCGACGGCCCCAGGCCTGCCCTTCTCTGCTCCCTCTCCTGGGGCCGGGCCCCCGTGGACGCCGGCCCACCCCCACCCTCCCCCCGCCCCCAGACCCCTGGTCGAGGGGCTTTTCACTTTCCCGAAGTCTGTGTGTCTGAGTGCTGGCTTGTCCATTTGGCATCTTCCCGGACGGGCTGGCCGGCGGGCAGTGTGGGGGGCTGGCCAGCCAGGGCGGCGGGCCGGCTGGAGGACTGGGAGGGGCACCGCTTTCGGCCCTCGCCGCTGCCGGACCCTGCTGCCGCCGGGGGTCGCTTGTGGCTGCCCTCTTCACCCATGGGGGGCTGCAACAGAGGACAGGCAAAGGTGAGGCGCACCCTGGTCAGCGCAGGCCCCCGACCGCGTCCCGCGCCCGGGCCCAGTCTGGGGTGCACAGACACCGCCACTCGCTGTGCAGGGGCAGACGAGGTGCCCTGAGGCCTGTGGCCCCCCACTCGGCGCAGGCCTCCCGGGGGCCACGGGGGCCCGGGCACACAGCACTGCCCCCGGGAGACACCCTGGCTGGCAGAATGGACCCAGCGCCGCGCAGACTGGGTAGCCAGGGCGGCCTGGGCCCGCCCGCTGGGGAGGGGCACTGTGGACGGCCCTGCCCCCACCTCTGCCACCGGCCTGCGGCGCGCAGCAGGGCAGCGAGCCCGAGCTGCCACTGGGTGTCACTACTGGGGCCTCTGGGGTCAGAACTGCCCCTCCCAGAGGGGCGGGCGCCGCCAGGTGCCAGCCTGGCCAACTGGCAACGGCAACGCACCGCATCAGGGGAGCAGCGCCCCAGTGGCTGGGCCCGGCCCCACGGGGCTGCCGCTGCCTGCTGGTCAGCCACCCCCCCGTTCTGACCAGTGTCCAGCGTTTGTTCCAGGGTAACCGGAGAGGTGCCAAGGACAGAGACTTCACTCACGTCTACTCGGAAGTCCTCGAGACGTCGGAATTTGCCGAGGTATTCTTGAAGCTTGGGGTCGATGTCCAAATTTTTGGCTTTGGAGTACTTCAAGAAGGCCCAGAACTTCTCCAGCCCGTAGAGCTGGCCTGTGGAGACGAGAGGGCGCGTGAGGTGGGCCCCAGGCCCCGGGCGGAGCCGCGGCGGCTGCCGGCTCCCAGGCCGCCTCACCAGCTTCGTAGTCCTTCACGGTTTCCTCCTGGAAGTCCTTGAATATATCCAGCCGGAACTTCTTCTCCAGGCCGTAACTGTAGTATCGAAAAAGGCACTCCAGGCCGTACCTGGGGGCGCCGGGCGGTG